TAATTCAGGAAAAGAAGCTCGAAAGGACGAAACGTTGAAGGATTACCCCCTTCTCTCTCAGAAACCGATACTCCACACGACTTCTCCCTCTCTCAAGCGAAACTAGAGCTTTGAATTGAAAAAGAACCACCGACCTGCACTGTGTGGTGACACTGAGGAGCCTCCATGTTCGTAGAGGTACGAAGCCTGCAATCCAAAATATTTAGCAGAGCCGAGCATCAAAAAAATCACGACAAAAAGAATGGAAAGCCATACCACATATTCGCGGTTGGAGTATGCCGGACATTCCACACAAACAACGGAAACGCACTCTCCTGATGATAGATTAGGAGCTGAAAAGATGCGATCAAACACTTTACCTATTTTCAAGATGGTTAAACTGACTGGAACGGCAATCTAATGAGAGTGGTGAGGTGGTTCACGACATTCGAGGCGAGGCATCGCGTGCAAGCTAAAAGGAACTTCTTGGGGGCGTTCAGGCGCCATGCCGTACGTCATCCCGCTATCTTTCCAGTGTTCTCCAGTGCCATAGATGAAAACGTGGCCATAAGCGGGTCCTTTTGCTGTCTTCGCCTCGCCTCGCATGTACTGAACAGAGCCCAAAAGGTGAGGCAAATCCTTTACTGTTACCATAGTAATACGGAAAATTTCCATTAGAATTCATAGTGGGTGTGACGAAGCCATTTGGCACAGCTGGATACATATACTGGAAAGAGAAAGTAGAAACAGTTACACTCTAGTTCGCTGCGGACGGTTGGGCGTGTCAGGCAGTATGAGTGTGTCACCCCGTCAAAGCCGTTCTCTGCCTTCTTGTTGAAGCGCGCATGCGACAAAAAGTGGTAGAAAACGAGTAATACGAACGATATGATACAGTCATATCATTTGCTCGCTTTAACAACTGGTGGAGAACGGGTTTGGCACCGCGCCAAACTCATCCCGCCTGACACGCCCAACCGTCCGCAGCGAACTACACTATATATCATGCCACTGATATAATCAAACCAGAAAACATGATGGAATTTCTTGAGAATAACTCAAAATGACCTGTAATTCATAACGTTGAAAAAATTGCGAGTTCTGAAATCTAAGGGATTGTGTCCGATTATACTGTACCCAGTATGGACCAATGGCAGGCCATCCGTTTGATATTGGAAATTGTGGAGGAGTCTCAGCATTATTTGATGAAAGCTGGAAGTATTGTAGAGAGGATTTCTGAAAATACATTACCTTGCGATCCCTCCACACGTAAACAGAATGTGTGTGATATTTATGTAATGTAATGAATGGCCATTTTCAAAAGTTCTGCTGAAAACGGCTTGCGAACGCAGTCAGTGTCTAGCTGCTCATTTATCACCGCTGCGAAAAGTGTAGCTTTAGTCAGCAGCTTTTCAAACCTACGGCACCCTATCTTTTCATAAATTCCTCTCGAAAAAAAAACGCTAGCATCCAGTGGCCCACTACCATTCCAATTACAATAACTCCAGGCGCTTTACCTAGAGTCCACTGCGGAAACCCACGTTCCAGCGGCGCCTCGGAACTGACCCAATACACCACAGCCGGCCGTCTCTACGGGTGTAGGACGTTTGTGCAATGCACTTTTTTCGCACCTCTCCTCTCATGGTGGCAGAGTCGCCTGCGGTGTGACCTCACTTAATTGCTGGCTCGCTGCCTTCTGACCTCTCATCGATTACGCTGTTCACTCAGTTATAATAACATGTTATAACACTACTCGAAGAATAGGAATATAGAAATGTGAAGTATAACTCACACCAAATGAATATTGAGTTTCAAACCGATGAAATAAGAGTTTAAAAAAACATAGTAGAGACCTTCCCTCAGATTGCTTTCACGCCAAAGCTTTAGGTAACTTTATTAGTAAAATAGTTATTATTATGCTTCCTTCAAATACAAATATGAAAAATATTAACAGCTTTCATTATAATACATGAGGAGTTCTTAAATTGTTGTGTTGGTTACAAATCTTGACATCTTCACACAATATTCTTCTATCTGACTTTCACTTCATGCTGTGCTCAAGTGAGTGCATAAAGCAGTGCTGGTGGTTCTTGTCAAGTAGCGCCCTTAAATACTTCTTAACGATGACCTTTTTATCACATCTAGGATAATCAAAAGCGCTGACGGTCACATTCTACGAATTGACCTGCTTGAAGGCGGTAATCTCTTTATGTATTTATATCTTCTTTAAACGCAGTTAGAAGCTTTCTATTTAAGTTGAGAAAGGTCTCCACATTGTTATTTTTAACATTTTAATCATAGGTTTGAAACTTAATACTCATTCGGTCTTCACACTTCCTTATTCATATTTTTTGAAGCTGTGTTATAACATGTTATAGGTGGTTGAACAGCGTAATCGATGAGAGGTCAGAAGGCAGCGAGCCAGCAATTAAGTGGGGTCACACCGCAGGCGACTCTGCCACCATGAGAGAAGAGGTGCGAAAAAAGTGCATTGCACAAACGTCACATACCCCGTCTCTACATATTGCACCCTATTCCTGATAAATCTACAAGTCCGTGCAAGGTGCAGTGCAATCAGTAAGGTCCTACAGCCGCGCACGTGAAAAGACGTCCTACAGCCGCGCACGTGAAAAGAATCGTAACACGGCTTTGAGCGCATACATTTCATAGACCTATTTCAAAACCGGTCCTTCTGATCTTATTTCAGTGCTGCAGTACAATAAAAACAGGGCGCGGAGCATTACTGTCCAGTGGCGTCAAGTGCGGCTAAATAGGCGCTGTTAACGCGTTGATGTGAGCTGTATTCCCACCAGGACCCAATCCGCTTAACGGAGGGCGTATGAACTCTCTCGACTTCCCCTGCGTCTGCATCTCTCAAGTCGACTTGCTTGCTGTGTCCGTGCCTATGCTGGGAAATAATCAGCTAGTGCGCACGATGCCGTAACGTTCCACTACTGGACAAAAGGATAATGGATGCAATTCTTACCTCCGTGTTAGTTGACGGTGAAGAGTATGGAAGGCTACGATCTGGCGAGATGCAGCATGGCAGTGGCAGCAGCTTTGACACACTCACTTTCCTAAAATTTATTCAAATACTTTACATCACATAACCAATCATATAGATGATTTTAAAGATGGATTGATTGAACGACTAAACACATTTCTCCATAACGCCTATTTATACTGTTAAGTGGAGGCGTTCCCGCGTGCGAACGCTTTGGCGAGGCGCCAGCTCGTTTATGCCAATAAGTGCCACTCGCACAGCCATTGACGTAAATACTCTGCCGCCGCGCCAGAACCCGTGTAGGAAGAGAGGCCTCCACCAGGCGCTCTGCTATCCACTGTACCAAAATGCACAAGCAATGAAACCAAAAAAACATGAAGACTCAGATCTCGACAATGAAGAAAAATTAATTTTTGAAGCGTATGCATAACCGCAGGATACGAACCTTTCGATGCCGTTCACCAAAACTAGCCTCGAATTTTTATCTGGGACAGATAGCACACATGCCTGAAATATGTTTATCAGGAATCTTGCAGCCAACCTATAGAGCTCCCCTAGAGCCAAGAAATGCTTACCCGGTAAAACGATTCACCTTCAATAACAATGCAAGGAGTGCCAGTTTGGAAGACACCTGAAGGTGTAATCGCCGTCGTTAGCTTACAGAGAGGATAAAAATTGAAAAACTTATGAGTTCCCGAATCATAATGTCTTCAGCAATTGCAAAACCACAGGGAATCCCATATTAAGCTATAGGGCCAGTTGCCTATGCATTATACCTTATTCAAATTCAGACATCCAGAATCAGAGATCGCAGAACAGTCGATTTCGGGAAACAGTCGAACTCACAAGTGACACTGGGAATGAGAATGACGCAGTCAGCAATTTTTGTATCATTTACCAACGTTTAGCATATGGCAGAGGTGCAGTGGCGAATGACGCCGCGGCAATCAGGGGTAAAATCCCGGATCGACTGCCGGACAACCTAAGCACTGAGTTGTAGATCGGCTGGCCCCGCAACTTACCGTATAAGCCGTTTCGTGACCGCGATTTCATATTGAAGTAGCCTGCAGCATCTTGAAAAAAGACTAATGATGGCGAGAGTTTCATCATTCACCCCTTTATTTTCAATAGTGATGAAAGTAACTCACCGCAATCGCTAGGTCGCCTTTTATTTTTCAAATATAGATCGTAAGCCAGGTTACGGTAAACCGATGGATCAAGAGATTTCACAGATGAGTACGGAATCGGCGGTCGCCAGGCTGGCGCGAACGGCTGTTTCAAGCACCTACTCTTTAGTACAAATTACAAAAATTACAACCATACTGCTAACCACACTGCTCCCATCACTGAAGGAGCAGTCTCCATTTGATTGTTCTTGCATATACTCGGAAGGGGTTTGAACATCGGCTCCGATCGTATCTTGAACAAAC